GGCTAGCTGGATAGCTAGATAGCTCAGCTAGCTAGCGAGCTTGCTTGCTAGCTAGCTGGCTATCTAGCTAGCCAGCTGGCTGGTTAGACAGCTAGCTAGCTAGCCAGGCAGCCAAGGGGGCGGCTAGCTAAGCAGCTAGCTAGCCAGCTGGCTAGCCAGCTAGCTAGCCATAGGCTAGCTCTGGTTAGCTGTGGTTTATTTGCAGACTTCACTTTTGGCTGCGGGACTCAGCGGGAACTCAATAGCCCTCTACGGTAAGAATTTAGGGTTTAGGGTTTAGGGTTTAGGGTTTGGGGTGTAGGGTTTAGGGTTTAGGGTTTAGGGTTTAGGGTTTTGTGTGTTTTATTTGTCCCTCAGACATTCGAGGCAACACTCCCATACGCAGGGTGCTCATGAAGGTGCCGCGCAAACCCTAAACCCTAAACCCTTAACCCTAAACCCTAATATTTTTTTCATTTTTATTTATTGCTGTTTGTATTCGTATTAGTTTTAGTACTTCTTATTATAACCATCACTATTTGTTATTAATAGTTTTAATGGGGTCAAGTAGGGTTTAATAGAATTTGGTAGTGTTTAACAAAAGCGCAACTTGCTGTTGCTGCTGCTACTGCTGCTGCTGCTGCTGCTGCTGCTGCTGCAGATGAAGACAAACGCCTTAAGTTGGAACCCTCAGGAGCCGCTGAACTTCACAGCAGCAAATGAAGATGGGTGTTTATACACTTTCGATTTGCGGCGGCTTTCGGAGGCCTCGAGGGTTTACAAGGACTTCGTCAACGCCGTGTCCGCCAAACCCTAAACCCTAAACCCTAACCAGCCCCGCCACCCAGCAGGCCCCCCTCCCCCACTCCAGCCCCTTGGGTCTAGGGTTTGGCGCGCAAAGCTGAGGGTTTAGGGCTGAGGGTTTAGGGTGTAGGGCTGAGGGTTTAGGGTTCAAGGCTGAGGGGTTAGGGTTTAGGGTTTGGAGCTGAGGGTTTAGGGCTTAGGGTTTAGGGTTTGGCGCAGGCTGGACGTGGACTATTCGCCGACGGGCCAGGAGTTTGTGGCTGCTTCTTTTGATGGGACTTTAAGAATTTTCAAAACGCAAGAGGGCCGCAGCAGAGACGTTTACCACACCCGGCGCATGCAGAGGCAAGGGTTTAGGGTTTAGGGTTTAGGGTTTAGGGTTTGGGGTTTGGGGTGGGCTGCCGTGGGCGCCTCAAGTGCCCGTTTTCAGGGTTTACGCCGGTCGACCTTGCCGCGCTGCAGCGAACGCGCCCCACAGCAGCAGCAGCAGCAGCAGCAGCAGCAGCAGCAAGGGTTTGTGTGTCTGCTGCAGCGTGCTGAGCTGCGGGTTTTCTTCGGACTCGCGCTTCGTGTTTAGCGGCTCCGCAGATATGTGCATTAGGGTTTGGAAAGCAGCAGCAGCAGCTTTGCTGGGGCCTCAAAACCCTCGCCAGCGAGCAGCAGTTAATTACCGCCAAACCCTCGTCGACAAGTTCGCCCACTTGCCCGAAATTCGCAGAATCGAGAGGTCTGCGCGAGGGTTTAGGGTTTAGGGTTTAGGGTTTGGGGTTTGGCGCGGGGCGGCTTTTCGCGGAGGGTTTAGCGCACGTGCGTGGCCCGGGGGGTTCGCTGAGGGTTTAGGGCTGCGGGTTTGGGCTGGAGTTAGGGTCGGGGGCCGCGGCTAGGGTTTAGGGTTTAGGGTTTAGGGTTTAGGGTTTAGGAGCTGCGGGGGTGCAGGCACCACCACGTGCCCAAGTTGATCAAGAAGACGCAGGAAAAGAAACGAATTATGAGGGAGGCGGCGAAGAGGAGGGTCCGCTCCAAACCCTAAACCCTAAACCCTAAACCCTAAACCCTAAACCCTAGCTGTTTACCCCATCTCCACCCAACAAGCCTCGCCTCTTTCGCGGCGCATAGCGCGCGCCGCTGCAGCAGCGCAAGCCGCTGCCTTGCTGCTTGTGTTTACGCCCTAGGGTTTAGGGTTTAGGGTTTAGGGTTGAGGGTTTAGGGTTTAGGGTTTGTCTTCAGGAGGACAACCGCATTGCCCACTCGAAGCCCGGGACAGTCAAGCGGGTGGCGGAGCGCAAGAAGTCCATTTACAGAGAAATAGAATAAATAAAATAAACAAAATAAATAATTAAAATAAATAAACAAATAAGTGAATAAAATAAAATGAAATAAAAAAGAAACAATTGATCATTTTGAATTCTTTTTCTTCTTTTCTCTCTTCCACGGAGGAGGTATTTTCATTTTTCAAACTCCAAAACACAGGTTTAGAAAATGCTATATTTGGCTGCTGCAGCAGAGGTTTTCAGCTGGGGTTTAGGGTTTAGGGTTTAGGGTTTAGGGTTTTGGGCGGCCGGTTTCGGCGCAGCTACAGCAAAGTTGAAAGCAGAGGTTTCTGCAGCACGCGAAGCTGCGGACTCGCCCAGAACGCGAGCAAACCCTAAACCCTAAACCCTAAACCCTAAACCCTAAACCCTAGAGAAAAGAGCGCGAGCGGCCGTAGTAGCCACTG